GCTGTTTCATTCATGACAGACAGCTGCTCTCTTTAGGTCAATGGCAGCACGAACGCAGATTTAAATGTTCAAATCACACTGTTGTGATCGTACTCTGCACGGACGAACCAAGTGATCACAACATTGATCGCACACGTCAAAGGTTGAGGAACGAAACAGACGAATCATTGTAATTTAGGAATAGAATCACGTTGGTGTTTGAATCGCATTCGCGATCTTCAACGATCTATTAAATTAAAGTGCTTTGTCATGTTGGTGGTGACGCCTCTCTTGCAACATGTTTAGCTATCACAGATATTATACTTATCTTTTTTGGCTTCTGATCGCAAATGTAGCCAAACTTTGGAGCGCTTAGATTAGCGAGCAAGGTCCTGGCAGATCGCTAGCTCCGGTCCTTACAGATGAAGAAAAAAAAGCACATGGGAATCGATAGGCGCAATCGAAATTTTAATTTGACAACAAGTTTCCGATTCCTGACCTTAAGTATCCGATTCTGGAATCGGAATCGATTTTCGATTCCCAACCCTACTTTCGTAAAAACACAAAAGGAGACATTTAGCAGAATGTCCATGATGCTTTTTTCCATACAATAAAACAAATAAATAAAACAAAAATGTTTGGAGTACGTATTACAAGACAATACTATTTTAGTCTTTCCACTTCAAAATTTCCCATTTAATTTAATGTGGTAGCTGCCCTTTCTTTGTAATTATTTGTGAAATTTACTCAAAGTAAAGTCAAAGTAAATCCTACCTTTTTATTTTCAGTGTAGACTGCATGGTCCATGTATTATATTCAAAGTTATCTGAAGCCATATGATTGCTTTATGTCAGGAACAGATTTACATTTTTTATTTGAATACAATCTTCCCTCTGCTGTAGCTTTTAAATCTGACTTGCACTTTAAGACATGTGACAAAATGTAATGTCAAGACATCAGACCTACTGTGACATGCTTTCATGCCCTATGTTTAAATAGATGAGCGATAAAATACATTAAAAAGTTGTTTAAAATACAATATTTTGGAACTGTTGTTTTATCGGTTGAAATTTGACAGTTGACGTGTTTAATTCACATGCTCCAACAAACCCTTGTTTCCAAACAAACTTCTGTCTTTGATGCACAATCATTGCAGGAAGTCTGACAGTATGGACCTTTAGGTCTGATAGAATTCCCACAATGCTCTGCAGTCTATATTCAACAGCTCTTTAAAAGTTCTCTCCTCCTCAGCTGCCGACGCTCTCTCTCTCCTGTTCACCTGACAGTGCCACCTCACTCCAGTTGTTATTTATTGAGCTAGTTCTTAATTGCTCACTCGTTCCAATTAACCAGACATGAGAAAGTGAGAAAGCCAGAGACAAAAGAATTGGGAATATTCTGAGAGTTAAAGAAAAGGAAAAGAAAGCAGTCGGGAATTCGGCAATGCAACCCTGCCCACTTTATCCTCGGATGACTCTCGTCCTCTTTACAAAAACAGGGTTTTATTGCCTCTATCAAATTTAAATTCCATTTTGGCCTGTGAATTAAGGACTGTTAATTAAATCAATAAAGCAATTGAAGGAGCAACACTTCAATTGCACTGCTAACATCCTGCAACGTTAACAAGTAAGCTCAATAACTCCATCAGACACTTCCAATCAATCCCAGAGACCCCGTTAAGCTTCCAGTTTTCATCAATTGATTAGTTAAGACTTAATAAATGGGTTGTGCCTTTGTTATAAGGTTACGGCTGAATTCATTTAACAACTTGAATTTTTAAATGATGATTAAAAATGAGAACCAATATTTTGAGCATGTCATATGACACAATGGCTTATTTGTAGTAGTCCCCTGCTTTTTGATTGGGATGAGACAACTTTTTAGCATTAAAATTTATGTTTACGAAAAAACTGTTGTTAAAATGTTTTCTCCTGTGATTTAGATTAATTGCAACTAACCATTTCCGCCTCAAACTCTTTCACACAAGACGTTTTGTTTCCTAATTGATCTCTTCCGTCCTTGTCTTTCTGTTAAATCCAAACTGTATTTCTCAACCCGCACTCTGCATTCCTGCAGTCCACCATGGCCTCCTCCACCAGCCTGCCCTCAAACTGCAGCAGCTCCTCTGGAATCTTCTCCTTCTCTCCGGCAAACATGGTTTCAGCTGTGAAACAGAAGAGCGCGTTCGCTCCTGTCGTTCGGCCCCAGTCCTCACCTCCACCTACATGCACCAGCACCAATGGGAATGGTCTCCAAGGTAACGCATAAGTCCTTCACACTCAAATTCTGCTTGGGTGGGAATTTTATGACAGTAATGACATCATCAAACTTTGAAAACTGAAAATACTGCCGCAATGAAAATGATGTTCAACAACATTTGAATGGTAGTGTATGTAAAATCACAAAAGACAAGTGAGGATCTGTGGCATACTAGAGGCATGAATATCTAATCTTACTTTTGACCATATACTCACCCAGCATTCAGTCTGATATTAACATCTTTCTCGCCTCTTTCCTCTTCTTCTTCTCTCCACTGCCTTCAGATCAGTCTTTTGTCGACTCTAACAAGTACTCCACAGCCAGCGCGCTCCAGGGCCTGGCCTTCTCCTGAAGTATGTTACTCATCCGTTACTCCTCCCACATCCATCCCACTGTTTCTATATCTGATCATCCATATACCAACAAATAACAGTGCTCTAGCATAATAAGAACAAGTATGCTTATTTTTTTTTAAGGTGAAGTGTGTAGTTTGATGTTAAAATACTGTGTTAAAATACTACAACCGCAGCTATAAGAAATTTGGTGACAAGAGAAGTGTTTGAGGGACCTGTTTGAAAACAGTCATTATTTTTGCAATTCTGTTTGAAATTACACACCTCACCTTTAAATATTCCATGTTTCCCATATATCACACTCCAGTTTTCTGTTTCAGTACATCATGCTATACACCTGCAGAGCATGTTACATCGAAAATTGTGTTACTGTGTGTCAATTTTATGTGTGAGTGTGTGTGTGTGTGTGTGTGTGTTTGCATGCTTTTGAGGGTTCGTGTTTCACCTCCAGCGGTTCCTAGAGAATACAACTCCTCCAAAACAGTTCACCTCTCTTCTTTTCTTGTTTGTCAGCAGTTGTTAAACTCATGTTGAGGTAGATCTGCAGTGCTAAGCATTTTCCTCGTGTTAATGTTGGCCTAACTAAAGAGAGTGACGTTTCTGGCATGAATGATGTGATAGACTGAATTCATAAGTTTTAGTGGTGTACACCAGGGCAAGCATGACCTTACAAGCCCAGAAACTGCATTGCAAACAATTAGGAGTCAGCTAAGATGTTTAATCAAGCGCTTCACGTGTCTCGTTTTTGCCAATTTTGCATTGATGCTGAAAGATATTAGGATTTATCCCTCATCTGAAGGGGCCACGGTTTGTTACGCAGATGTGGAAACAGATTTCCGAATTTAAAGAACTGCGGAAAATATGAAACAATGTCCAATCTAGTAGCTGGTGCTGCCTTTGCTGTACAACTCAAACTGTTAGATGTTAATTTAATTCTCTCACTTTCAATAATGGCATGTTTAATGGATTAAAGTGATCTAACACTCTGTGTTTTTCTCTCTTCACAGTTATCCCTGGAATGATCATTCCTCCAATGTAGGGTGCATCTGTGAGTGTGTGTGTGTGTGTGTGTGTGTGTGTGTGTGTGTCTGTGTGTGTGTGTGTGTGTTTGTGTGCAGACGGAAAGATGAAACATGCTTTCATGCCACTGGTCTCACTGAGCATGTGCAGGAAACTCCGGCGCTGGACTGACCTCGCGGTTCTGTTCTGAAGGATGAAAAATTACAAACTCAGGCCCTTTTTAAACACAATCTGCTTTGCAACAAAAATATATAGAGGAAGAACGATACGAGAAAAAATATCGAACTGAACTGTTGTACCTCCCTGTTTTGATGTTGAAATTTGTACTCACCTTATAGACACTTTTTAAGATAAGACTACATCTACACTATAACATGAGAGGTCTATTTATTTTAAAAACGTAGTTAATGATTTGCCATCATATTTGTGTGTTTCTGTGTACACCACCCTTTTATGAAATGATACCTGACACAATATTGCAGTGGTTTCTATTTATGATTTTAGATGAAGGATTGCAGGTGATTTTTGCGTAGTAATGTCCCACTGAATTTGCTCAATTGCATTTGAATTTGAAGAACTGAAGTCAAGCAGTCTACAAAATGCCAGCGATTTAAATTCATATTAAAACTGCGGCGGCGAAAATATCATTAATGCCTTTTTTACCATCTTTAAAAACTGAGAAACTCAGCTCCTTTGCTTTTTCACTGTCTTGATTTTCACACTCGTATTCCATTTGCTGAGATTATGCTGCCTTCAAGTCCTTCTGGGAAATTATGATTCGGAAAACATTTTGAAAATCAAAAATGGGCATGTTTGGCTTTTCATATTTCTCTCGCTCTTTTTAAACTTAATGGCAAGCTTTTTAGCACCACTCAAGTTATCCCAAACCTGTTTGGTTACCCACATTCTTCAAAATATCTTATTTTGTGTGACATGAAATTCATACAGGTTTAGAACAACTTTGAGGGTGAATAAACAATTTTTGGGTGCACTATCCCTTTAAAAGCAAAGGATGCATGTAAGGTGTACTGTACCTGATGCTTTGTATTTTATGTTGTTATGCCTTCAAAAAAAGATAGTTTTGTCGTCCAAAATTTTTGTTTATTATTGCTATTATTGATTCATAGCACACAAAAATGTTATCAAGATCAGTTTACACAATGATTTTAATTGGCACGCCACAAACTCAGAAAGATTTAAAGAAACTAAAGTTTCTCACTGGAGATGAAGATATTGCGGTGGGAAATCTGATCATTCTGCCATGACTTGAAGGCAACATTTGACATTTCATTCTCATCTCTACCAGTTTGTCATTATGTAATGCCAAAATGTATAGACCAGACACTTACCCATAGTAACGCAAAAGAGACAAAGACAAGTGCTCAGTACATACAGAGACAGGGCAGTCAAAAAGCCCCGAACTTTCTAAAGTGATTGCTGCCTTCTTTTTATATATACTCTCCGTGGAGGATTTGTGTTTGCAGTGTCAATAACAAAAACGCAAATTATCAGTGAGTTTTATGCCATTTTAATGACCTTTTTTCCTTTTAATTTGTTTGAATTGTAGAAAAAAACTGTGATAACTTTTTTATATATACTTTACTTTGCAGTGGACTTCCTCCAATAGATAATGTTCAGACTGAACCGACTGAAAGGTAGAGGAGGAAGATGATTAATGTTTGTTGGAGCCGTTTTGCTTTTCTTGTCATTCAGTGGTTCTCAACTGGTGTTGCCTCGAGACCCAGAGTTTGCCCAACACAGCACTGCAAAAGGAATCAAAATGTCTTTGAAATCAACACATTATATGAACCATAGCATTTTATTATTTTCATTTAACATTGATTTTCCCCCTACTCTCCGTGACCCGGTCAGATCAGACCTGTTGCCCATTTTCAGGCCACGTCCCACCAGTTGAGAACTACCGATGTAGATCAGTCTGGGTGTATGTTCAGGAGATGAAGGGTTTGGATGTTACGGCATAGTCAGCACTGTGAATGCTCTGTTCCCTTCTCACGAATGATCCGAGATCTAGATGAAGCCATCACTTTGGATTCTAGCGTGAATGCTTTGTACAGACTGATAAATCTGTTTGATTTTATAATTCTCTTTTATTTTGCCAAAGTCATTGTTTTAAATATATTTATACATCAGAATGGAGTCATAAGGCAGCTTTATACAACCTAGTGTCACTGATATAATGTTTACGACATGCTTAGCAGATCTCACTGACTTTAGCTCTGAGGTTTTGATGATCATGAAGGGATATACAGTATGTAGGATATCCATTGATGAATATTGTATGTATGTATCGCTTGAAATTGTACATGCTTCAAACTGTCTTCATGTTTGTGTGTTTTTCGCTCATCATTTGGCGATGATCTGTTTTTATTTTGTCATCTGCCAGGTTGTGTCCATAAATGTGATTTTGGAATTTTATTTGTATAGTAATTTTTGTATGTCAAAGAACAACCGCTTTTATTTTTTTTTTTTTTTTTTTTCCATTCGCACAGAGCAATTGTTGTTGTTGTTTTTTTTTCTATGAAAATGTGTTGTTATAACATTTTAAGATTTGTTAAATAGTTTGTATTTTAATGCAATGAAGTTTTTGAGAATATATTCAAACATGTAAACGATATAATAATCTTTTCATTCTGCTTCTCTGGAACTTACAGAGAAAAGGATAGTTATTGTTTTCATGCTCAGCAAATATACAGTAATATCTCCCTGTTTTTGAATATTTTCTCGCCAGAATTTGCTTTTTTTAAAGGGAAAATAATACACGTATTTGTTCCTTTATTTCTCTTGTCAAAAATTTCACAATCCTTGTTTATTTTTATTTTTTTTGTGGAAGTGTACCAACAATCAAAATGTCTTAATGCAGATTTCTCTTTTTTACATTATTATTATTATTTTTTTTAATTATTTAGATAGTTTGGTTAGAAAAAAATAAATTAACAAGTTAAACTATGGAGTAACAGCACAAGAGTCTATACAGTTATTTGCTTGTACATGTCATTCCATGACACTCCTCTGTCGTGTCTTAATAAGTTTCATCCCATTTTTGTTCCAATGCATCACATCACAAAACTTTCTGTGTTTCTTGAACATCTAAGTCAGTTTATGTGGCTTATTTCTTTCTGAATCATGGCTTTCCCCATTATTTAAATGGGTGTCAGCTGCAAAGTTATAATTTGATGGTTATTTGATTTATTGTTTAATATGTCACACATCCGAATTGGCAAGTCGTCATCTGCTACTATTTTTCCTGTTGATTACATACTTGTTGTAGACTGGACTTTCAGTGGGCAGTTGTTACTGGTGAAAAAAAAATATAAAAAGAAACTACTGTAAAGATGATCATTTTTTTAATTACCTTTGAACTGTAAAATAACTTTTTGACTTTCACAATATTTAATTAAAGTTCCCTCTTGTCTGTGACTCTTCGTTCTTTGTGGGTTTCTCAAACATAATTCAAGGAATAAAACTAAGCGTTTACAGGATGGTGCTGTTTAAATTTTAGTTGTTGTGGGGAATTAAAATGTACAGCATTTACGACATTGTAATGAAGCCATTAATTATATATGAATAAAGAGATGAAGTGATGTTATAGTGCAGGGGTTCAGACTACTGCATTTCATATGATCACACACAAGCCTGTCATCTGCAATAAGAGTAAGTCCGTTTATATTCACATCCGAAATTAAGTGCCCCTTATTAGTAATATGGAGCCATTTCAATGACTCCACTTCATTAATATATTACATGTTTCTGGCATAAAGAATATGCCCACTGCCGCTTTAACAAATTAACTGGTCTTTGTTTTTGTTTTATTAAAATGCATTTGGCACCTAATCGATTCATCATTTGTCGGTTTTACATATACTTTTCTTTTCACTTGAGCTGATTGTCTGAGACATTTTAACTTCTGTTGAAATGTATGTGTCAACGACGTAAAAAAGAAAATATTGTAACTGTTACATTTTCTAAGTGGTGCTCATGTAAAATGTAAGTAATGCTCACTGCCATGTTTCCAGGGTAGTTGCTAGGTGGGTTCCAGGGTGTTCTGTATTTTAGTTGTATTCTAGTCACTATGCTACTCAGGACACTCTATAAATGAAAGTCTATGGGATGGTTTTTTTAATCCTATTTATCATAAGTCTGATCACTTAGAAAAGTAATAACACATTTTTCCAAAACAAATCACACAATTTGAGGTATTATTCATGATTTGAATCTTTTTGTTTGTTTGTTTTGTTTATTTATATAAATGTGCACTGGATGAATCATTGACTCAAAACATAGGCTCCAATCCTGTAGGTGCTTTGGGACTCAAGCATCCACAGAAAAACGTGATATTCTCGCTTTAACCAATCAAAAAATCGACTGAGATTCAGAAACTTCTCTGATTGGTGGATCTCACATCAGGTCCCGTCGGCTCATAATGCACACAAATGCATCTTTACAGTGGCCAGTTGTTCAGCCAATAATCCAAAAAAAAAAAAAAAAAAAAAAAAAAAAAAAAAAACAAAAACAAACAAAAAAAAAACAACAACACACAACCAACATGTCCAGGTCACATTTCACCACAAAATCAAAAGGAAATAAGGAATAAATAAGAAAAAATATTGTGCTTGATGGAAAATTAAGACAAATTATTTCAGGACCAGATTTTGACAAAAAAAAAAAAAAAAAAAAAAAAAAAAAAAAAAAAAGCTTTGAATCAGACTTATCTATTGACGTCATAGATGACACAGTTTCGGACTCACACAGCCCATAACAAACTGGCAGCATGTTTTCTTTTCAGCTTTTCTAAGCTGGCAGACATGCCAGAAATCTAACCAAATGCAAAAAAAAAAAAAAAAAAAAAACCCCAAAAAAAAAAGCTAAAAAAGTGACAATTTTATCCGATGTCCCCTTTAACATTAAATAAAATAGACTGTACGGATCAAACAACCCTGTGTCTACTTTGTGAGCATTCCTTAATTGTTAACATGACATGCTGCAACGATTAAAAAGTAGACTACACATCAAAATAAACGGTCAGAAAATAATGCAAACACAAAACGTATGACAGAAGTAGCAGAAGTAGAAGAAGAATTGGCACAGCACATCCTTTCTAGATACCATCATTAATTATAAGGGGTCAACATACTCTCATTGCAATTCATAACCATTTGACTGTTTGGCTAATTGGTGGCTAATTTGTATTAATTTGTACAGTTTCATTTCTGCAATTTTGTGCCCCATTGATGGTTACAGTATGTTTAGTGGTGGGGTTAGGCATGAACTTTTATTTATTTATTCATTCACTCATTCATGCATTAATTCATTTTTCTCATGAGATTGGGTTGAATGGGTTCTGTTTGCTTTTGATCGAAGCGAACACAGTAGTGTAAGTTTCTGAATGAATCGATGTTTTTGAACAATCGGTTGAGTGGCTGATTCAATTACTTGCCCGGCAGTTACTCGTTTCGTTTGCTGAATGATTTTGTTTTTTTAATAAATTATTAGAATTTTTAAATGACTCGTTTATAAAAACACAAACAAATTTGTTGAGTGAACAATCAAATTACTCATTCATTCAGACAGTCACTTGTCGCCACCTACTGACTTATCTGTGTAACTTAATGTAACACTAATGTAACTTGACTTTGGGCTAGGATTACATCTTCCTTGCTCCATTTTAGTCCCAGTGTTCTGTGCATATTTTTGTAAAGAAACAATCATTTTCAAGTCTTCTATGGACTCACATATGAATACAACTCTTGATCTTTTTTTTTATTACCTTCAAGTGTGCTATGTGCACACGTTCACACACAAACGTACACACACACACACACACACACACACAGCTGGGAGGTGTGTCTGACAATGATGGGAACACAGCGGGGTTAACTGA